AGGCCAAGCTGAAAAAAAAAAAAAAAAAAAATAATAATTTTAATTTTATATGTAGTTACTATTAGTAATTAATTAAAATTAATTAATATGTAATTATAATAAAATATAAAAAAAATTTTTTTATTATTAAAATTTATTATTTAATTTTTAATTATAATATAATTTAATAAAAGAAATTTGAAAATATAAATTAATAATCAAGATAAAGGGTTAATAAAAAGGTTTAAAAATCTATTACTTAAAGCTTTTTTAAATAAAACAAGGATTAAACCATTCTAAAGTCATATTTAAAGACTTAAATATTAACAAGTATTGTATTTAAACAAAAATTTACCATGTTTAAATAAAAATTTGTTGCTTTTTTCCATTTGCTTTGTACCAGTTTGGTGTAAATATTAATAAATTAATCAAATAGTTTGACAAGTAAAATAATAATAATAATAATTTGCAAAATCATAAAATAAAAAAATAAAAAAAATTTTTTTTGAATTAAAGCAAGATTTATTAATTAGAATAGAAATACAATTGAATTGATCATATGATAAATTAGTAAGGTTATTGCATGAAATATTATAAAATCAGACCACGACTGACTTTATTTTGCTTTGTGATGTTTGTGATATTGTGAAGAATTATATTTTGTGTAATGGCGCATAATAATTCCACCAGTTAACTATAGTACCATCTGTTTCAAAAAGGTGGCTATTTGAGGAATCTTTTGAGCCAAATAGAAGACGCGTGTGTGGTTGATCTGAATGAAGATACATGCAAAGGAACTTGTTAAGTTACCTCGGATCGATTCTCCTATTTTAATCTTCAAAAGAATAAACGGTTGACACGTGGGTTATTTATGCGCCAGTTCTAACCGGAGGAGAAACCTTTGATTTTTGAGAATAGTCATGTTACATGTTGGTCACCAAGAAGAAATTCGAGCCTACACATAAATATATTCACCAAAATAACACCATCGCCGCGTACAAACAACATTTCCGATGTTCTTTTCACCGTCTGAGAAAAGAATAATCGTAAGAAATGTAAAAGGTATTATGGCATATGTAAAAGACGAGACCAAATAACCATTTTATGTACACGTATAACTTCCTCGTAAGTCTCTTCATTAATTTCTACAACTGTAATAGTCTCTTCTACGTCTCCAAGTATCATATTTAAATGTCCGTCGTATGCCTATTAAAAAAGCACGGTTGTCGACAAGCATTGATATTTAAAAACCATAGTAAAAGTAACTGGTCATTAGATAATATTTATAATACATGAAGTTTTCCGCGTAACTCTCGATCTCCACGTAACTTTACGTATATCCGTTCGTCAAGTGACAAGCGAACCAAATCCAGCGGTTCTTCAACGGCATTTTGTTCAACCGGTGCTGTGAGAGTTTCTTCAGTAGACATTATTACTTAACCGGGTTTTGAGAAATTTTGGTAAACATTTACTATTGAAGTATCTGTTATTTGATCGACCAATAAGAATGCATCCGAAACATATAAATCGACTTTCTGCCACTATTTTTAACCTTGCATTTGTATCATAACATGGAAACAGATATTGTATCGCAAGAAATTACACGTCCAGAAGAAGGATCAGAATAAAAAGAAAGCTCGAGTAGCTCGAATGAGACGCAAGATTCCTCCACGAAAATGGAGTTTAAAGCTCCGGCGCCGGTAAATGGTAAATACATATTCTTTTAGAATCTTTCAGCACACAGATTAATCAATCGTTCTTTCGATTCTAGTTCAATCAAGACAATCGGCAATACCCTCGGTTCCATATGAGAAGCCGGATTGGAGTGGTCTACCAAAGAATAACTATACCTTTGAGGTCATTAAAGGTGGAATTAGTATTGACATGATAGATTTCCCGTCCAAGGAGTTTCTTGTGCTCGGTACGTGATCATAATAGCGCGATCTTGTGGGCGCCCAAGAATTTAGACAATAAGTTTAATAGGTTTTTGATAGTTTAACGTTGATCGTTTCGCAACAATTCAGGACGACTTCCTGTATGTGATATATCGATGGAGCATACTGTATCCTAAAACTCAAATTAAGAATATTTTCGGCAATTCCCGTTCCTTGTCTAATTCTTGACCTTGGAGTACGCATCTCAATCAGTCCATTTCTAGGTACCATGCGGTCGTTCAATTTAATAGTAAAGGTTAGAGATCAATTCAACATAAGGAGATCGTGTCTTTGTTTCGGGGATTTCGTTATCACAACTCTAACACGCATATTTATCGATTATCATAAAAAGGCGAAATTTTTATTTATGATCTGGGAAGTGCGCATGGCACTAGATTAAATAAGCAACGGATATCTCCGCTAAATTATGTTAAACTTCGCGTAGGAGACCAATTAAAATTTGGGGAAAGTACGCGAACATATATTTTATTAGGCCCGGAGGAACCTCAGCAACAGATAATCAAACCTGTTTCAAAACCAGCGCCCGAAACGGTAGAGGTCACTTGGTATATGTGACGAATTTTTTGTAAACTTCTCGTGATCAATTTAAGATTAGTAATACCGATTTAAATCATTCTAGGGGATTTGCAGAAGATGCAGAAGACGAGAGTGAGCTTTCAATCACGGAAGCAAAAGAATCATGGAAACGGGATGAAAACGCTTATTATTATAAGGACCCTAAAAAGGCTTTGCGAAATTGGTTTGAGGTTTGTACCTGAAATTAGGATTGAGAGTATTATTCAAACGGTTATATTAATTATTAACTTATTTGTATAAGAATCGTGGATATGATATGGAATTCGAAAGTGAACAAGAGGGTCCAGGTCATGCACGAACATTTACCTCACGGTATTTATTAATCCATTTTAATTTAATTATTGAGACGAGGTTCTTTATGGACAATTATCATCATTTCAATTTAGGATTCAATTGCCAGACGTTGAGGATGCGTACGGCCCAGTTTACGGCATTGGAAGCGGTCCAAAGAAGAGGTATGAGAAGACTTGTCAAATATTTTCATTATACAAAGATTTCCGCACCTTCTCAATATACTTTGAATGAAAAAATTTTATAGGGATGCTGATAGACAAGCAGCGATTGATGCTTGCGAAAAATTAGACATGTTAGGAATTCTGCGCGGAGGACATGATGAAGCTTGTATGCAATGCGAATTTATCATGTACTTTTTAATACGTGGTGCTCCAAAATTAAATTCAGAATTCACTTTAGTGGCTAGGAAAAAGAGACTCAAGCAGTTGTTGGGTGATGACTTGGACGACAACGAGAACGATAGTTTTTATGACCGGACGGGTCAAGGTTAGATTAGATATCAATGTCATTCTCTGAACGTTCCGTAGCCAATCCATAAGTTCTAAATTTTGACGATCTTTATTTATATATAAAGCTGATCGGGCGAATTCAAGAAAGTCATTAAAATCAACATCAAAAGTTGAGACTTATGAATCATTGACGAAACAACGAGAAGAACTCGCGTTGCAAATCGAAGAATTGCAAAATAAGATATCCATAGTCAAAGTAGCGGAATCAGGTATTCACAATTTATTTGTTTATTTGTTTTACAGCTTGACACTAATACGACCTTGCCATGTGTGATAGAAAAATCATCTGCTTCAAAGATGGATGATGATTTGGAAAACTTTATGGAATCTATAAAGAATGAGATAAACAATGAGTCGGAAGCAAATTTGCAGGAAAAACTACAAGGTTTATTAAAGGTGAGTGAGATGTTGGATTTTTTTTTTTTTTTTTAAAAAAAAAGATCCTTATTCAAAATATAAATCAATTTCACAGCAAGATCAACGCCTCAATCGATTAATCCAAATCACAAAACCTCATGAAATTATGAAAAATAACAACCCCTCATTGTCATATACACCACATGAAATATCAAGAGACAGGTAATCTTTTTAAGTCGCTATAATTAACGATCAATTGTCTCGTATTTATCTATTAAATTTTTTTTTAGTCGAGAGCATGATAAAAGAGTCGAAAGAAATGAGGTAAATGTGAATTATTTCCACATTGATAATCGAGAATACTTAATTTTTCTATCGCATCAGAAAAATCAGGAGTCAATTGAAATCGAGAAGATCAAAATTGTATCTGCTAATATTGAAGAAATCTCAGAACACCATATGACCGAATCAACTTCAGAGTTAATTTCATCGCATCACGAAAGTTCCATGATAAGATCATCTACATCAGTGTCAGGATTATCACCGACAATCATTCCGAGTAAAAGGACCGACTCGGGAGAGAATGATAATGATAGCACATCACTGGGAGAAGATGAAAGCAATAACAGAAAGAAGAAAGTCAAGTCATTGGTACCGATGACTCCACAAGAATACGAAGAAAGTCAAAGAAAGGCTATGGAGTTAAATGAACTGGAGGTTGAAGATGCAATAATCTGGGAGCCGCCTCAAGGTCAATCAGGTGCGAAGAATTAATTTCTTGATTCTCAAATGGATAGTTTATTTTCTATATATCTTATCATTTACACAAAGATTTTGTCTTGCTTGTAACCTTATATAGGGGATGGTAGAACAGCGCTGAATGACAAATTCGGTTATTAGAAAAGAATAAAGTTTGTTGTCAACATATTTTGATATGATACTCGGGTTCTGCTTTTTTAATAGAAAATGTCTTTGATCAAATTTATATATCGAATATAGTCGAAGGGAAGGACAAAAGTACTAAGGAGACAAAATCAGTGATAAATTGGTACAATACAATATTTAGCGAGGCAAGATAAGAAAAGAAATCGGCCGATCCGACCAAACTAAGAAGGCAAAGGAGCAAGACAAAAAGAATTTGAGTCAAATAATAACAAGGTTCTAAACAGTTGTCGTCATAAATAGAAAAAAATTATGTATCTAACATGCACAGTTGTTAGTGTTTGGTGGTGGACGATTCAAGTCCACACCTCTATTATTCAGATTGGCGCCTCTCGCACGCGAATTAGCGGCTAATTGATCGAGAGGCATCTTTTTCGCTTTTCAAATATTATAATTCACAATTATTTTGAAATTAGTAATCAATGAATAGAATGATCGGAAAAAATACACATCAAAAACTTCGGTATACCTATTGATGTAAATAGTTCGTTGACATTATGAGCTGTTTTGGCAGACGTTTCGAAAAACAAGAGGTTCAAATCAGCCGCATAGGCTTTAGCTTCCTGTGAACAATAATGAATTATGATTGAATATTGAGTAATTTTTATGCAGATATAAACTCGTCGACATACTTCAGTATCGATTGCCCTGCGCGCGCTCAAATCACTCTTGTTTCCAGCAAGTGCAATGACAATATTTGGATCTGCTTGTCGCTGCAACTCTTTCACCCACGATTTAGCCTTGTCCAGAGAGGACTAGAGAAACCACATAATTAATAATCAACGATCAGATGATTCGCGTGTTGAAAAAATCAAAACGTAATACTAACAGCTTGGGTTATATCATAAACTACTACGGCACAGTTCGCGTTTCTATAATACATCGGTGCCAAACTCTGTCTCGTGTAGAATGCAACAATTACCTAAGTCAACTATTTGACACACGTGTAAAGAAAATAAAGTGTTCATTAAACCATTTCACCTTGTAACGTTCTTGACCAGCCGTATCCCTATTAAGTTAAGATGATACAGCATACATGTTAAACAGAATTTTAGAATACCTGGAAAATAGTACACTTACCAGATTTCAAATTTCACCGTTGTACTATCATCCAAGCTAATTGTTTGCGTTAGGAATGCAGCTAAAGACCGAAACGAGAAATCATGATTAATATTTTGCCATTTTCTGACAATGAAAATCAAAGGTACTTCTCTCACCTCCAATGGTGCTTTCTCTGTAATCACTGAACTGATCCTTGACGAAGCGTAATACTAAACTGTCATGCGTAATAATAATTAGAAATGATGCAAGAAATATGTATATATTTTTTAGATAGTCTCAAGAGCCGCAACTTGGACTGGTCAATATGAAATCATTAAATCCAGCGTTTGGTAACTTTTTATTCAGTCGATCAAATTGTCCCGATACAAGGGATCTTACTCCTCTTCATTTGAAGCTTCGTTATTTTTTGGGAGGGTCCAGAGCGTAATATGTAAAAGATAAAAAAATAAAGGCCTCATGGACAAACCTTGATTTGCCGACTGCCGATTCTCCTAAATGGAGTAAAAAAGGAACCAACGTAATAGACAAGGTAAAATAAAAATATGTTAGAACAACACTCAGGAAGCTACCACACGAAAACTCAAACGGTGAATCTAGGGGCGTTCAGGTGATCGCCGTCCATTCCTCAACTGTGTCACTGATTTTTCATACCTAACAAAACAAGCTTGAACTGAAACAATTTGCCGGTCTGAGGAGTTTGCTTATTGTTTGTATTAGACATCGCGGTCTGAAGGTGTCAAAATGATAAAAAGTGTATGAAATAAGCCTCGATGAAGATACGAAGATAATATGATAGGGGATATCTTGATACGTTGTATAATAAAAAAAGCAGCGGAGTATTATTAAATAACAAATTGAAGTCAAATGACCCGAGGTTATTTTAAGTTAGTAGTGTGCATGTCAGTTTATAATGAGGT